AATTCAAGAAGAAATGCATGAATAGTTAATGAAATCCCAGAATGAGGTGATGGAAAAATTTGCAAGTATGTTACAAAGAAAAGCAGGGATCAAACAAATGCCCCAGCTGGTGGTACTTTAACTGAAGATCCTTTATATCCTCCAGGCTTTACACCAAGAGCATATCGTCTAAAAGCTAAAGTAATTGAGGAGCCTTTATACCCCCTGGATAATGCAACCTCTCACGATAAAGCCCAGTCTGGGGCATTTACTCAAACAGGAAGGGTGAACATAAATTTACTTAGTTCTCCCATAAACCAACAACAAGTTGAGAATGTTCCAGATTTTGATCAGGAAGCAAAGAAATAGTCAAACAAACAACTGGAACAACTAATGGAAGAAGTTAGGGAAATAAAAGAAGGCTCTAATGTATATGAAATTGAAGCCAAAGAATTGAGTTTAGTACCTGATTTGGTATTACCACCCAAGTTCAAAATCCCATATTTTGAAAAATTTTGATGGTATGAAATGTCCTTCTACCCATATCACAATGTTTTGCAGAAAAATGACGGGTTATATAAGGAATGATCAACTACTGATCCATTGTTTCCAAGAAAGATTAACTAGTTCAGCCATCCAATGGTATAACCAATTAAGTAGAGTTCATATTAAATATTGGAAAGATTTGGCTAAATCCTTTTTGGAACAATGTAAGCATGTGAAGGATATAAGGCCTAATCGAATGGTACTGCAGAACATGGGAAAATAATTCAATGAAAGTTTCAGGCAATATGCCCAGAGATGGAGGGACATAGCTATACATGTACATCCACCCATGGAAGAAGAAGAAAAAAATGTTCTCTTTGGGAACACTTTGAAAGCTCATTTCTTTACTCATCTCATAGGGAATTCTTTCGAAAGCTTTGTTGACATAGTTACAGTAGGTGAGATGATTGAAATGGCAATTAAGAGTGGGAAAATTGAAAGTGGTGAATCTAGTAAAAAGCCATTTATGAAAAAGAAAGAAAATGAGGTAAATGATGCTAGGAAATATGAGTCCAATAATATCACAGTGTCTCGACCTTAGGATATTGGATCTTATACACAAAACTTCGCTAAATAAGGGACAAAGGAACGAAGGATGGAAAGAGAAAAATTTCAGTTTGACCCAATTCTGATGACCTACAAAGAGTTATACTAAATATTATATGACAAGCATATAATATCACCCTATCATGTATCACTTATACAACCTCCATATCCTAAGTGGTACAATGATAAGTTGCAGTGTAAATATCATGCAGGAGCTCATGGGCATTCCATCAAAAATTGCATCGCATTCAAAAGAATTGTTCAAAGCCTGAGAACAAAGAACATCATAAATTTTGGTGATAAAGAACAAGCAAATGTTTCTCAAAATCTGTTACCAAATCATACAGGAACAGAGATCAATACTGCTATTGATGAAAAAGGAAAATAGGTGATAAGGTAAAGCAGTGAAGTGAAATCACCTATGTTATGGGTATGGATTCAAATGATTAAAGTTGGTTTGTTGAAATCTGATCTGTCAGCAAAACAATTAAGTTGTGGAAATATATGTCATTATCATGGTTATGAAGGACATGTTATACAACAATGCTCAGATTTTTGAGCTTTGGTACAAAAAATGATGGATGAAAAGGAGATGGAATTTTTCAAGGAAATATCATAAGAAGATATGGATATTTGCACATCTGAGGGATCATATAAAGATTTTTATAACTCTAGTCATCCTCTAATTATCACGCCAGGGACTCAGGTACTAGATAAGGAATCTCCAAAGATGCTTATCACTTCACCATCTCTGTTTCCTTATAAAGATGGCAAGCATGTTCCATGAAATTACGAATTCCAAATGAAGGAAATAATGGGAGGAAATGAAGAGATAGATGAAGTTGGACATTTTACTCGCAATGGGAGATGTTATTTTAAGAAATCAAAGAAATAAGGTCCAGCTGATAAAGGGAAAAAGGTAGAGCTACAGTTAAAAGAGGATGAAACTGCCATCAATGAACCTGTAACTGAAAGTGGAGCTATAGAATTCTTGAAGTTTCTCAAGCACAGCGAATACAATATTGTTGAACAGTTGCACAAATTGCTAGCTCGTATATCAGTTTTATCACTTCTATTAAGCTCTAAAGCACATCAAAATGCTTTGTTAAAAGTGTTTAATCAAACTTTTGTACCGAAGGAATTGCCAGTTAACAAATTGGATAGGCTGATTGCAAATATACATGCTAATAATTTTCTTTCTTTTTTTGAAGATGAAATTCCTTCTTAGATGAAAGGTAGCCCTAAAGTTCTGTATATTACAGTTAAGTGCAAATGTCATATTTTATCTCGAGTATTAGTAGATAATGGCTCGGCTTTGAACGTAATGCCATTGGTGACCCTAAAGAAATTACCAATTGATAGCACACTCATGAGAAGTAGTTAGAGTATTGTCCAAGCTTTTGATGGAACCAATGAGGTATTATGAAAAATCGATATTCCCTTAACTATTGGTCTAGCTACATATGAGATAGAGTTCCTTGTAATGGATATTATACCCACTTATAATTTTTTATTGGGAAGACCCTAGATTCATCAGACAGGGGCAGTTTCATCTACACTACACCAAAAGGTAAAGTTTGTAATAGATGGTAGACTGATATATCTTAATGCTGAAGAATACATAATCGCTTCAATCTTTACCACTGCTTCATATGTTGAATTGGAAAAAGAAGCTATTGAATGCTCTTTCAGATCATTGGAATTTGTTAACGCAACGTTTGTGGCTGAGGGTAAAAGGATGACTAAACCCAAAATTTCCAATTTCACAAAAATGGGACTCAGGTTGACCCTAGGAAAAGGGGCAAAAATTGGAAAAGGGACAAAAATTAGAAAATGATTAGGAAACTATTTGTAATGACCAGTTAATCCAATTTATTCTATTTCTAAGAAAGGTCGATTTGGTTTGGGATATCAACCAATAATAAAAGAAAGACAGAAGGGCCTTAGAAAGAATCAAGAATTGAGAAGAGCAAAGATAGCTGGAAAAGATCTCGCATGGGAACCCATGACCTTTCCACCATTAAATGATACTTTTGTGTCTGGATGACACACTTTTCAAGAAGATCATAAAAGCAAAGAGCTGGTTGTTGAAGATGCTTTGAAAGAAATGATTATCAATGTCATATCAGATGATAAATTTGCAGGAAAAAAAGCTATGGGCATTTACCCCCGCATAATCAGATTTTGAGTTAAATAATTGGAATACGGAAGAATTACCTGTAGTTTTCAAGTCTTTTACAGAGTAATGCACTAAAACATTCATTGTTGCCTATACCCTGGGACAATATTTTGATTTTGTGTAAATGGTTAAACTATGTGTTTTTCTTTTTCAATAAAAGATGCATTAGTTCTAAATAACAATCATTTTTAAATGCATTTTTATGATTATCTGTATATACTCTTGTTTATTTTTCTTTTAGGAACTTAAATATCCATGACATAGATGCTAATAATGTTGGCTCGGAAATTGATTTTGAGCAGTCTATGTGTCATGAGGAAGTTGAAGGATATGGTGAAGGATGTGATTTACCCTTTGAACTGTTAAAAATGGTGGAAAAAGAGGATAAGCAAATTCTGCCTCATAAGGAACCTATTGAGATCTTAAATTTAGGATCTAATATGGAAAAAAAGGAGGTGAAAATTGGTACCACTTTATCTGTTAAAGGACTACAGGATTTGATTGAATTACTACAAGGGTACAAGGATGTATTTGCTTAGTCATACGAAGACATGCCAGGATTGGAAACAGAATTGGTAATATATAAGTTACCAATAAAATCAGAATGTAAACCTGTGCAACAAAAGCTGAGAATGATGAAACCCGAAATTTTACTCAAAATCAAGGAAGAAGTAAAAAAAAACAATTTGATGATGGGTTTTTTTAAGGTAGCCAAATACCCTGAATGGGTAGCAAATATTATCCCTGTAATTAAAGAAGGATGGTAAAGTCTATATGTGTGCTGATTACCAAGATCTTAATAGAGTCAGTCCAAAGGATAATTTTACCTTGCCACACATAGACACACTAGTGGAGAATACTGCTAAGAATTCTTTATTCTCATTTATGGATGGTTTCTCTAGCTATAATCAAATTAGAATGTATCATGAGGATATGGAGAAGATAACGTTTTTCACCTTATGGGGAATGTTTCGTTATAAAGTGATGCTATTTGGACTTAAGAATGCAGGGGAAACTTATCAAAGGCCTATGTTAACCTTATTTAATGACATGATGCATAAAGCAATAGAAGTTTACGTCGATGATATGATTGTCAAAGCCAAGTTTGAGGAAGAGCATGTTGAGAATTTGAGGAAGCTTTTTTAGAGATTAAGGGAATATCAGTTAAAGCTCAACCCAAATAAGTGTACATTTGAGGTGACTTCTGATAAACTTTTGGGATTTGTTGTAAGCCAAAAAGAAATTGAAATAGACCCAGATAAATTCAAAGTTATTCAAGATTTTCCACCCCCCATAAACACAAAAAGAGGTTCGAGGATTTTTAGGAAGGCTTAATTATATAGCTCGATTCATTTCACAGTTAACTGAGAAATGTGATCCTATTTTTCACCTCCTTAGAAAGAATGATTCTGGGACATGGAATGAAGAATGTCAAGAAGCCTTTGAGATAGTTAAGAAATATCTATTGAGTACTCCAATATTGGTACCACCTATCCCAGATAAACCATTAATTCTTTATTTGTCGGACTGGGATAATTCAATGGGATGTGTATTAGGACAACATGATCAAACTGAGAAGAAAGAAAGAGTTATTTATTATCTTAGCAAGAAGTTCACTGAATGTGAAACCATATATTCTTTAATTGAGAAATTGTGATGTGCTTTGGTATGGACCACTCGAAAGCTTAGACAGTATATGATGTATCACACTACATGGCTCATACCTAAATTTGATCCTTTGAAATGTCTAATGAATGTTCCTGCATTATCTGGGAGATTAGCTCGGTGGCAAGTTTTGTTGTCAGAGTTCGACATCCAATATGTCAGTCAAAAAGAAGTAAAAGGAAGTGCAATAGCTGAATTTATTGCGAGTAGAACTTCTCAAGAATATGAACCAATAGATTTTGATTTTCCTGATGAAGATTTGATGTCAATTTTAATAAGAGAAGCAAGTGTGTCCAATGATGAATATTGGAAGTTGACTTTTGACGGTGTTTCAAATGCTTTGGGACATGGAATTGGGGCAATATTGGTTTCGTCAGATGGAGATCATTATCCGTTTACTACCCGACTCAATTTTGACTGTACAAACAATACAACTGAGTATGTGGCATGTATTTTTGGTCTTAGAGCTGCTATTGAACGTAAAATAAATATGCTCAAGGTTTATGGGGATTCAGCTCTAGTAATTTACCAAATCAAAGGAGAATGGGAAATAAAAGATTTCAAGCTTGTAAAATATAAGAAACTGGTTTTGAAACTCATCAAAGAATTTGAAGAAGTGACTTTTGATTATATCCCCATAGAAGAAAATCAAATAGCAGATGCCTTGGCAACTTTCGCAGTCGCATTTAAGTTAAATGAACATGCAAGTATAATGCCTATTGAAATGCAGGCTTATGAATATCCAGCTCATTGTCTTAACATTGAAGAAGAAGAAGAGAAACCTTGGTAGTATGATATTTTGCAATATATCAGATATCAAAGTTATCCTGAACAAGCAACTGAAAATGATAAGAGAACTATTCGAAGAATGTCATCCGGGTATGTACTCGATGGGGAAGTCTTGTACAAAAAGGCTTTGGATCAAGTCCTGTTGAGATGTGTGGATACCAAAGAAGCTAAATCAATTCTTGAAGAAGTTCATGAAGGAATATGTGGTACTCATGCTAATGTGCATATATTGGTTAGACAAATTATAAGATTTGGATACTACTAGTCAACTATGGAAACAAACTGTGTTAGTTACGCCCGAAAGTGTCACAAGTGCCAAATTTATGGAGACAAGAAGCATACTTATCCTCATCCATTGCATGTAATGACAGCTCCTTGGCCATTCTCTATGTGGGGCATAGATGTTATTGGACAAATTTTTCCTAAAGCTTCAAATGGTCATCTTTTCATCTTGGTAGCAATAGACTATTTTACCAAATGGGTAGAAGCAACTTCTTATGCAAACATTACCCAAGCCATAGTCTGTAAATTCTTGAAAAAAGATATCATTTGTCGATATGGTCTGCCAGAGAGAATTATTACCGACAATGCTTTGAATCTGAACAACAAAATGATGAAATCGGTCTATGAACAATTCCAGATAAAGCATCATAATTCCACCACCTATCACCCAAAGATGAATGGAGCGGTTGAGGTAGCTAATAAGAATATCAAGAGGCTTATAGAGAAGATGACTAAAACTTATAAGGATTAGCATGAGAAACTACCATTTGCTCTGTTAGCCTATCGAACTTCAGTACAAACATCAACTGGGGCAACTCCTTTTTCATTAACCTATGGGATGGAAGTAGTCTTACCTATTGAAGTAGAAATTCCTTCATTACGGGTTCTATCAGAAGTAAAGCTAGACTGGGTACAAACCATATATGACCAATTAATTTTGATCGAAGAAAAGAGAATGAAAGTAATTTGTCATGGTCAGATGTACCAAAAGAGGATGATACGAGCACATGATAAGAAAGTTCGCCTCCGAGAATTTTAAGAAGGAGATCTTGTGCTCAGAAGGATTTTACCTTTTCAAAAGGATCACCGAGGAAAATGGATGCCGAATTGGGAAATACCTTATGTTGTAAAAAAGGTTTTTTTCTGGAGGAGCTTTAGTCCTTACTGAAATCGATGGACCTGAATTACCTTATCCAGTAAATTCAGATCTAATTAAAAGATATTTTGCATGAAAAGAAAAAGGATTTGAGGAACTTCATACTTTCATCATAATTTCGAGATCCTTTTGACACAAGCTATACTCAAGTCACTTTGTGGTGTACCAGTTCAAAAGCGTTTGTGCTATTGGTATTTGAAGATGCCTACTTTGTCTTTTACAAATAAAATTTGCCATGTAAAATTCTTTGCTTGAATAAAAAGAAGCGTTTTCTTTTTAATTCTTTTTTCAAAGCATCTTGATTTGAAATTTTAAAAACATGTAGTTTAATTTGAAGTATATAAAATCATGGTGTATTACTGTACAAAAAGTCTTTGAAGAATACTGACATTCTGAGGCTAACAATGATTTTAACATATAATGACATGATACATAAAACATTGAAGCATATGAGGTTTTAGATACTTGAATATGGTTTGAAATATTGGTTATCAATTGAATGGTTGTCATTTGTACTGGTGAAAATCAATAATAATAAAAGTAATTTTAGGTTCAAAAGAAAAAGATCAAGATGGTTGGTCATGATAAAATGATTATGATTGATGCATCTATGATGAGACGAAGTCAAAAATGGACAACAAAAGGGGGTCCTTGTTCAAAGAAAAGTAAGATGCCCCAAAATTTTATCATTGCATACATTTTAGGCATAAATAGAATCATGACATTGATAAATGCATGATAGCAAACACAATGTCATATTTGCATGTTTTCCAAAAAGAAAGCCGAAAGTTCATAATCCTAAGATTGGAGTAATCATCTCAAAATTCCTAAAAAGAGGTATATCTAAAGATGGCATGAGTCTAATATCCACAGAAGAGTAATGGAAACAAATTAACATTGAATCTAGTCTTCACGGAAGAATAGTGAAACAGATTCTTTCAAGACAATCCGATCTCCACAGAAGAGTAGTGGAAACAAGTAATGCAAATCAAGCCTTCATAAAAGAGTAGTGAAGCAATGCAAATCAAGCCTTCACAAAAAGAGTAGTGAAGCAATGCAAATCAAGCCTTCACAAAAAGAGTAGTGAAGCAATGCAAATTCAGCCTTCACAAAAATAGTAGTGAAGAAATATCGGATCAAAAGTTTGATCTCCAAAAAAGAGTAGTGGAACGAATTTTTATCAAATAAAAGCTACTTGATGAAAACTTCTTGTCTTTTTATCTTTAATTTATTCTTGTTTACACAATAATAAGCAAAGAGGGGCAGTTGTCGACGGTCGTTTTTGTCCGAGTCTTTATTTATTTATATATTATTATAATATTATCATTTTTTTAGTTTTATTTATATTAAATTATAATAATTTTATTACATGCCCAAATTGAAAATAACTACAACCCGAAGGCCAATTACAAGCAAAACCCCGAAGCCAGTTACAACCAAGACCCAACAGATGTGGACCCGAACAGCCCAGAACTATCCAGACCAAACAATCCTGGCAGACCCAAGAAGTAAACCTCAAAGGCTGCTAGGGTTTCCACGCAAGGTTCCAGCGCCGCACGGATCCTAGCCATCCGATCCAGGAAGCAAATCGACGGTCACCAGTGCAACCAGCAAAACCCTAGGGTACTCATTGTAACCTTAGGGCTATTTTGGCATCGCCATAGAGATAATGATGCATCCGTCGACGAACTCTCCAACTAGTGCATGCCACCAGGGTGATATATCATCGTCGGATTCGCAATATCTGGGTGCATTTAATGCACCCAGTCTCTCCACCGTACAGATCACTACCCCTAGGGTGAGTCACCACCGTAGCTGTAGTGACTCACCGTGTAGCACCCCCAACTCGTACGCAACTCGAATACGAGTCCAATATGTTACATTGTCTTTTTAAAACAATTTTCTTACAAAATAACATAATAATTGAACCTATTTTAATAAAATATGATAATATACTATTAAAAAAATTTGTTATAAAATTTTGAGGCAAAAAACTATTTATGAACAATAAAATATGGTATGAACAGTACCGTGAAATCAAATTTTTCCAGATTGCAAACAGGGAACTGATTCCTGAGGTGTCTGCCCCTCATCCTGTCTGGCGAGGGCAAGTGATTAGCTATCACCTTCAGGTTTATCGCCTCCCGCTTCACTTTGGAAGCTCTTATATTCAAACATTTAGCATAACAATTTAATTCTATCAACAAGACAGCACACTCCTTACACTATCAGATCATAATTTATTTTTTCACTTTGTGTTGACATGTATACCTTATAAAACACTCTAGACTCTGGTTTATGCCAAGAATAGACTAAACCTTAGCTCTGATGCCATTAAATGTAACACCCCCAACCCGTACCTGACCCGAATACGAGTCTGAGATGTCACATTGCCTTTTTAAAACAATATTCTTACCAAATAACAAAATATTTGAACGTATTTTAAGAAAATATGATAATATACTATTAAATAATGTTTGTTATAAAATTTTGAGACAAAAACGTATTTATGAACAGTAAAATACGGTATGAATAGTACTGTGAACAGTACTGTGAAATCAAATTTTTCTAGATTTATAAATAGGGAACTGATTCCCTGCTATAGGGTATCGATTCCCCTACTACAGTGCTGCTACAGTAATGCTGTAGTACTGCTTCAGTACTTCCGTAAAAGATACTTAAAACTCGTAAAAATTTAACCATTCATTACTATACATTTACATTTACATAATTACATTTAAAACATTAGAAAAGTCGAACAGAGCATTTGTACTAAAATATTTCTTACATGTCAACATACTATACACAATTAAAATACATACTTTATCAATTAATTCTGATCTGATCTTCTAGCAGTGTTGTTGTTCTTGCCACTCCTATTTATGTTATTCTTGGTTCTTGGTACCTTCGTGTAAATCACTTACACGCTAAGTCATAGACTTAGTGAGGCATAAAATAAAACATATATATCAATGCATTCATGAAACATGCACTCTTACCATTCAATCACATTACAACTTGTATGTATGGATGTATTACACTATACAATATATGATCATGTCTTGCACATATGAACTTACCTTCTTATGCCACTTTCACTTTAATTTATCTTTCAATTGGCCATGTACATTATTGAGAACATGAGGTAAATGAGTACATTGAGGTTGTGCACAAATGTTGTCACCACAACTCCTATAAATTCCCACTAGGGGCACTGAATATTTGTCCCGAAGGACGACGTAGAAATGTCCTGAAGGACAACTATGTCCCGAAAGACCACATATCACATATGTCCCGAAGGACTACTCCTTAAGAACCATATACATAATACAATAGACCAAATAAGTGTATCGAAGTACCACATACATGTTCCACAGAATTACATATATGTCCCGAAGGACCACGTAGAATTGTCCCGAAGGATCGTGTAGACCCTCGACTCTTGGCATGCCAACTATACCTCTAGATCTCATGACACATAACATGGTCATTATCTTTATACTTATCATTTCACATAACACATTTTTCACTTTCACATGTATACATATGATCACTTTATCTTTTCATATATCACTTAGCATTATCATTTGATAACACTATTCATTACACATATTGCCATATTCAAGCATTAATGAAATACGCATGTAATCACTATAAACAATATATCTATATATGCATGTACCTGAATAGGAAATCATAAATTCAATGATAAGAGATAGACTTATCACAAGTCTTGTCTCTATAAAGCTTTATTTAAAATATACACTCACCTTAGCCTTGTTGGAATTGAACCAATTCTAAAACTTATCTCTTTCTCAATCATTTCTAATCCCTCGATCGTTCTTACTTGTCACTTGTTCTGTAACTCGTTTAGGCTCGTTATCTACATAAACATAATTTCTGAGATAATTATCAAAAGTCTAAACCTTATAATTTGATACTAATAGCTTAAACGAATTTAATGAACCAAACTTCAACTTTTCCTATAGGGGGTATCGATACTCTCCCCATAGGGAATCAGTTCCCCCTGCATAATCTGTAAAAACCCATAATTTACTATTTAAACCTAAAAATCATCAACTCTTCACTAAATTTTCTCATACAAA